AGCATGGGCATCCTCAAACGGAAGGTGGAGGAGCGCAAGGTCTCTAACATCCACCAGCTCCGTGATGTCAATGTCGAGTGGAAGAGGACTCCAGTGGCAACCTGTGAAGCTCTGGTGAACTCCATGCCCAAGAGGGTTAAGGCAGTGTTGGAAAATAACGGTGGGCGCACAAAATATTGACACGTTGGGCCCAATTTGGACATTTTCACTTAGGGGTGTACTCACTTTTGTGGCCAGCAGTTTAGACATTAATGGCTGTGTGTTGAGTTATTTTGAGGGGACAGCAAATTTACACTGCTTTAGATTGTAGCAAAGTGTCATTTCTTCAGTGTTGTCACATGAAAAGATATAATAAAATATTTACAAAAATGTGAGGGGTGTACTCACTTCTGTGAGATACTGTAAATGCTACTGAAGTGGTTATACTGTGCTTAAGAAAAAACTCATTTGCAGAAAATGACATATAAATAAATGTATTGTCATTGAAATCTACATATATAATTAGTGTAATAAAATGTGTAATGTATAATAAACATTTAAATATATATTGTGTAGGTTTTCTTTCCTCTAGTCTGAAAAAAAAAGTTATGGAAGCAAAAAAACAGTTAACAGTTTATACGAGTAATAATTACTGTTAGAGTCAACTCTGATCTCCCTTAAGTTTAACATTGAGTGCCTGTTCTCGTTTATAAACCATTTCTTAAACTCACCCTCATTCTTTTGAAATGTAAAAAAATGTGCGATAATATTGCATATTCTCATATGACCTTTTAATTCCCTCCAGATGAACGCTTTAGTTGCCCTTTGCCACTTTTGTGAACTCCATGGTCCGCGGACGCTATTCTGTACAGAGGCCGTCCACCCTCCATCCCCGTCTCCTCCGCAGCCTGGTCCAGTCATTCCTGGTGACAGGGACCGAGAGGCGGACAGAGAGGGCGAAGGGCTCACCATGAGAGCCAACAGCTCTGCCACACAGAGAGCTGACATGTGTGAAGTAAGTGAGAATGTAATCTTGTCATATCCCAAATGTATTTTTAACTCCAAAATCCGAAAAAGTTATTTTCTATAATGTCTTATCTAATATCTGTCTTTGTCTCTCCAGGGCTGTCGCTCCCTACCTGCGTCTCACCCAGGCTTTGTGAGTGTGGACAGTGAGACGGGAATCCGCTATCTGAGCCACCAGCACCCACGCCAGCAACAGCTCTTCAGTGTCGTGCGACAAGCATGTGTGCGCAGCCTGAGCTGCGAGGTATGTTTGCATGAATGAATTAATCTAAACTTGATTAAAAAAATATGCATCTATGTGATACTTGTATATTATCTGCTCTTGCAGGTTTGTCCTGGTCGAGAGGGGCCCATCTTTTTTGGAGATGAACAGCACGGATTCGTTTTCTCTCATACGTTTTTCATCAAAGACAGCCTGGCACGGGGCTTCCAGCGCTGGTACAGCATTGTCGTGGTAGCCATGGACAGGATCTACCTCATCAACTCCTGGCCATTCCTGTTGCGCCACCTGCGGCTAACCATTCAGAGTCTACAGAACACAGCACTCAAGGTACTGCTGGACTGCAGCACCACTTTAGGACCGAGATAGGCAGAGTACCTCTTGGGGTAATGAGTTCCTTGTAGTGTTGAAAATACAAGGGTTTGCCCTGTTTGTTGCCTTGCAGGTGTTTGACAGTGAGCAGTGTGTGTGTCCTCAGAGGGCTGTGCGTATGAACAGCGCCTTCTCTCCAGCAGTGTTTCCTCACCAGCGCAGCGGCAATGCAGCCCGCTCTCTCACATCCCTTACCCAACACCCCAACCTGTGGGCTAGTCTGCACTCCTCATTCAGCTGGTATGTAAAACACAGTAAAAAAAAAAAAGAGGCATTCTGATCATTTTTGACTTTATTTCTCATAAATGTGACTTTATAATGTATATTATAATTTTATAACTTATACTGTGACTTTATCTCACAATTGCAACTTTATATCCCACAATGGAGACTTATATCTCACAGTGGTGACTTTATTTCTCACAACTGCAACTTTATTTATTAAATTGTGACTATTTCTTAGAATTTAGATTTATATCTTACAATTACAAACTGTGTATCTCACAATTGCAAACATTATATTTCATAATTGTGACTCATTGGCGCAAAAGTAATAGTGAGACTTTTCTTGGCAAACACTAGCGCAAACACACATACACTATAGGCCTATCTGCTTTTTAAAAAATCATTACACTTCCTATTACTTTGTTAATGATCTTTATTTTAGGTTGCTGAAAGCTTGTGGCAGTCGGTTGACAGAGAAGCTTTTAGAAGGGGCACCCACAGAAGACACACTCGTTCTCATTGAAAGACAAACCGGTAAAATGAATGCATTGAGTAAAATAATTACTGTATGAAAACATTAACATTAACATTTTCTGCACACAGCCTTTTTCTGCAACAAGATATTGCAGAAAATATATATTCTGCATCTG